AGGTGGATTGATTCGTGACTGGGATAATTGGGATGGGAGTGTCGGAGACAGTGCGATTGGCACAGGACAGAGCGGAGTTTAGGGCTGTTGTACACAGGGTCGCTATGAGTCGCAGGCGACTCGATGGCACATAACAACAACAACAACATGACAGTTGTCTGTGAACTATTGCCTGTGAGGGGAGGTGAGTTTGCTGGGAAAAAAAATGTCACTAGATTAAGTAATTAAAGATGAGTTTAGAGATAGAACAAGCAGTCCAGGTTGAAAGTAGAGGTTGGAAAGTCATCTTTGTGAAATAATCTGTGGTGAAGAGACTGCAGAGACATGAGGGCTAAACTTTGTGGTTTTTTTCTGTAGTATAAAAATGGAAGAGGGGATCTTTGATGACCTAGTGGTAAGGAGTTGTACTACCAATCCAAAGGCAGCCAGTTCAAGCCTATCATTTCTGAGGGAGACAGATGGATATTCTCTTCCAGTATAATTTACAGACCCTGGAAACCCTTTGCAGGGTCCACTATGGTTCTAACTCAACAGCAGTGAGTGAATGAGAGACAAGAATGATGTAATCCTGGTTTGTGCAGACACTGTTTTATGATTGGTTAATAATATGTTGTTGTTGTTGTTGTTGTTGTTAAGTGCCGTCAAGTCAAACAGGGCTCATTAGTGACCCTATGAACAAAAGATCTGAACCTTGTTCTGTAACTGTCGTCGTTTCTCTAATGTTCATAGAGTCTCCAAAGGCATGTTGGTTAGGAAGTGGATACCAATCCTGCTTCTAAGCCTGTCTTGGGAGCTCCACCAGACACTGTCCACCCTCCGTAACCAATATGGCATTTGACACACTAGTGGCACTGTATTCAACATCACAGCAACCCCAAGTTACCTCAGTACAGCAAACTGACATACCAGTGCTATACCACTTAGAAGAATGTTCTTCCAAAAGACAGTCAACACCAGGTCCTGAGACTGGCGGGCTAGAGGGTCCAGCCAATTTTTAAATACAAAGGCCGGCCTGTCCACCAGGTCCTGATTGCCTTAAGGAAGAGCTTTTCCAGTCCACAGCTGATTTTTAGCTAAATCCAGTCAGCTCACACACAATTGTAAATGAATAAACAACAGTTTACACCTGACTTTTAACTTAAACAAGAGAACCTACCCTCTAGAAACCAACTGCTTCACAAAGAAACCTCAATATTTTAATTACAAGAGCCTATGTAATATTGCTCACTGTTGAGAATATACAAGAGTTGAAATTAGTTACAGATTGTAGTATAATTTCTACAGTGACATTGCTGACATTTTTCAAGCTGTGCCCCCATTCTTACCCTCCTTTTCTCTGAATTGTGCCTTCTTTTTTAACATAAATTTACAGCCCTCTACGTGTCGCATCTAAGCTTTTGAGTTGCTTTTACTAATGTCATACTAATACAGACCTTTAAAAGAGCATGATACTCAAGGTAGCCATTCTTACATAATTAAGCTACAGTGTGATTTAGCGGTTTCAGGGGATATTTTTGGTTCAATATTGGGTAAGTACTGTTTTAGGGTAAAAGTTCCAGGTGTTTATCTTGTTTAGTGGCTCCAGAAATTATAGATTCCATAAGAATTTTCAATTTTTCCCCATATTTCCCTCTAAAATGTTTGGTGATGGTAACTTGGCACCATCCATTTCTTCTAGTGTGATGGCAAAGGAGGCCACATAGTCCACAGCCTTCATCTTCTCCACCTAGTCCTGGCTCTCTTCCTTCATTGTTGTTCCAGGAGCATAGAAACAATCTCTTGTACTTTGGCCACTTACAAACTTTTAAAACCCCAGAGACTAAGTAGCAGAGTAAGAGGTAGAACAGAAGCATTAAACATAGTAGTAGGCCACACCAAGTCATTGGGCCAGCTCTTATTCAAAGAGAGAGGAACTCAATTTCATCTTTTAATGAGAGTTGTAACAGAATGACATTTCCAAGGATATAAATGCAGGAATAAAGGTGACAGTTTGGGTTGGTTTAGTTTGCAGTCTACTGCACTTAGATATCTTTTTCTTTTTTGGTATTTTTCTGATTATAAAAGTAAGAGCTATTATCCTTGTTGTTTTGTATCGTAGAGTCAGAACCAATCCATAGCAGACCTTCCAGTATGTTTTCAGAGGCAGTTAATCACCCAGAAGGAGATTAGCAAATTGGAAAATATGCAAGTTATTATAAATATTACCAATGAGTCTGTTGTCTGTCATCAGAGCTATGTTGTACAGTAAAAACTTTTTTTAATCAGTTATCTTAGATGTTATTTATTAGATTATCATATTATTATTTTGGGATTCTCCCAGATTAGTTTGTGAGTATCCCAAAGTAATAACGAAAAACTGATTTAGATCCCATCTATTTATTCTGTGAACCTGTGTCTATGTATAATTGTGAACAGCTTTGTTGTCTTATATTTATTTCAGATTCATTATGTTTTAAAACCAGATGGAGTCTTCATTGGTGCGATGTTTGGAGGGGACACACTCTATGAGCTCCGGTGTTCCTTGCAGTTAGCAGAGACGGAGAGGGAAGGAGGATTTTCACCACACGTTTCTCCTTTCACGGCTGTCAACGACCTGGGACATCTTCTCGGGAGAGCTGGCTTCAATACGTTGACTGTGGTAACTATCAAGAGGAACAACCCGTTTATGATACAGTTTATAAGCAACGTAGTCTCATCTTAAAGAGAGAAAATTACAGGTATTGATAGTATTTTGGAAAGCTTTTGGCATGTCCACTTTTTTAAAGGAAGTTTCTTATTTTTCAGTTTGCAGTAACACATCATATGTAATATAAGATATTGTTGTAAGGTGCTGTGTGTCAAGTACAACTCATAGTGACCCTATGAACAGTGGATCTTAACCCTGTCCTGTCCTGTGCTGTCTTCACAATTCCTGACAAACTAGGGCCATTTACAGCAGTCACCGTGTCAGTCCACCTGGTGAAGGATCTTCCTTCCCTTCGCTGACCCTCTACCCTTCCAGGCATCAAGTATGTTAGCCCCTCCATCCTTGCCTCCAAAGAGCACTCCAGCTGCACCCTCTCCAAGACATACTTGTTCTTTTGGCCATCCATGGGTTGTTCAGTGCTCTTCTCCAACACCACATTTCAAAGATATCAATTCTTCTTCTGCCATCCCTATTCCTTGTCCAACTCTCAGATGCATAGCAAGTGTTCAGAAAGACCATTACCTGAATTAGACAGACCTTAGTCTTCAAACTAACATCATTACTCCTGAATAATTTGAAGAGGTCCCTAACTGCAGACTTTCTCAGTACAATACATCTCCTAATTTCCTGGCTGCTGATATGGAGGGTGTTAATTGTGACTCCAAGTAAGATGAAGTTGTTGATACTTTCAGTCTCTTCTCCATCCATCATGTTGCGTATCGGTCCAGTAGTAAGAATCTTTGTTTTCTTGATATTGAGACGCAGTCCATACTGAAGGCTGCCATTCCTTGATTTGTGCAACAAGTGCTTCAAGTCCTCCTCACTTTCAGCAAGCAATGATGTGTCATTTGCCTAACACAGGTTATTGATGAGTTTCTTTCCAATCCTAATGCCACATTCTTCTTCATAGAGTCCAGCTTTTTGAATAATTTGTTCACTATACAGATTGAATAGGTATGGAGAGAGAATACAACCTTGACACACTCCCTTCTCAATTTTAAACCTTCTAGCATACTTTGGACATGTTGTAAGGAGGGACAGACAGGTCCTTGGAGAGGGACATCATGCTTGGGAGGGTGGAAAGACAGCGCAGGAGGGGAAGGCCCTCTATGAGATGGATTGATTCAGTGACTGGGGTAATCGGGATGGGTGTGTCAGAGGCAGTGCGATTGGCACAGGATAGAGCGGGGTTTAGGGCTGTTGTACATAGGGTCGTTATGAGTCGCAAGTGACTCGACGTAACATAACAGCAACAACATTGTTTCCCTGCTCTGTTCACACAACTGCCTAGTGGTCCAAGTATACAGTTCACCTGAGCACAGTTAAGTGCCTAGGACTTCCTTTCTTCCCAATGTCAGGCACCACTTGGAATGATCCACACAGTCAAATGCCTTTCAATAGTCAATATAGTACAGACAGACATTCTTCGGTTTTCTCTGCTTTCAGCCGGATCCATCTGACATCAGCAGTTTCATTCCTGGTACCACAACCTCTTCTAAATCCTGCTTGAACTTATGGCATTTCCCTATCTATGTATTGTTCAAGCCATTTTTGAATGATCGTCAGTGGTATTTTGCTTGCATGTGATATTAATGATATTGTTTGATCGTTTTAACTTTGTCTTAGATCACCTTTCTTGGAAATGGGAACAAATATGGACCTCTTTCAATCCATAGGCCAGACAACTATCCTGAAATTTTCTGGCCTAGACTGCTGAGCATATCTAAGGCTGCATCTGTTAATTGAAACTAGTCAGTTGGTTTCCCATCAATTCCTGGGGCCTTATTTTTTGTCAGTGCCTTCAATGGAGCTTCCACTTTCTCCTCCATTACCATTGGCTAGGGATGATAGAGGAGAGTTGATGCCTTTAAGTTTGGTGCTAGAGAAGAATATTGACTGTACTATGAACTGCTAGGAAACAAACAGGTTTATTCTAGAGAGGGTGAAATCAGGCTGCTCCTGGAGGCAAGGATTCTGAAGCTTCGTCAGACATACCTTGGGCATGTTGCAAGGAGGAACCAGTCCTTGGAGAGGGATGTCATGCTTGGAATGGTGGAGGTACAATGCAAGAGAGAAGGACCCTCGATGAAATGGATTGATTCAGTGTCTGGGGAAATGGATAGGAGTGTCAGAGACAGCGAGATTGGCACAGGCTAGAGCAGGTTTTAGGGCTGTTGTGCATAGGGTCACTATGAGTCACAGGTGACTCGATGGCACATAACAACAACCACCTGCTAATATGGTACTTCTGAAATTTTTCAGTGTCATTCAGTTCTTTTTGGTACTTAGCTGAGTAAGTAGCTTAAAATCCTGTATTTAAGTTAATAAGACTGTTTTCTACAACATAAAAAACCAAAATCTACTGATATTTAGTCAGTTCTGACCCAGAGTGACTCTCCATTGGGGTTTTTCAAAATTGTGTTATCTTAATTGGACATATTGCTCATCTTTCCCCTTTGAGTGGCTGGTGAATTGGAGCTAGCAGCCTTTTCATTAACAAAATACAACATACTACACTCCCTGGAAAAGAACATCATGCTTGGAAGGGTGGAGGGACAGTGCAGGAGAGGAAGATCCTGCATGAGATGGATTGATAAGTAACTGGGGCAATGGAGGTAGGTGTGTCAAAGTCAGTGAGAGTGGCTCAGGACAGTGCAGACTTCAGAACTGTTGTACATCGGGTTGCTATGAGTCACAGGTGACTCGACAGCACATAACAACAACACTACCAGACCTCCTTACAGCATACTATTCTATTGTTGTAGGTACTGCCAAGTTGGAATTGACTCATACCTGATTCTCCAGCAGATTTTTTGGAGACAGTGAATTGCACAAGAGGAGAGTGCCCGTCTTCCACAGAGCTGCTGGTGGATTCTGTGTGCCTTTGGTTGGCAGCAAAGCTTTTTACCACTAAGCCACCGGAGCTCTTTTATTATTCCATTAGACTCTTCAGAGTTAGATTGTTACTTCTGTTTTTGCCGAGTCCGCTCGGCTTTGTTCCCACAGTTCCAATACTAAAAGTTTCGACAAAAGTTATGATTCAATTCCTATTGTCCACGCTGCGCATCAGACCCTCCAGGTTTTAGTGGGCTCAAGAGAATTCAGCCGATTTCCCTACTAACTTTTTTCCTTTCAGGTGAGTCTCAATGCAGCTCAGCTCAGCTAGTGGGTTCCAGCTTTTGCTGGGTCTGTGATGGGACCATGGCGCGGCAGGCACGCAGGGCTCAGGTTTTGTGTTTTGTTTTTTAAATTTTATTTCATTATTTTTTGTGTGTACTGTCAAATCAGATCTGACTGGTACAGGAGGAGATTGTTCCTCCTTCTCCAGTTTTTACAGCTTCTAAAATAATGTGTTAGCAAAAGTTCTGATTCAAAATCCTACTGTTCACGTCACGCTATGGTGGTCAGTCTCTGTGGAGCGTAAAGTACTCTCTGGTGTCCCGTCTTTATGCAGCTTGCTATCCCTCTGCTCTTCACACTGTACTCTCCACCTCCGCCATCTTCCTCTGCCCAGATTGTTACTCCTTAGTAAAGCCTCTTGCCTTACCTAGTGGTAAGAAGTTTCAGTACCAACCCAAACTAGCACTGTGCAGGAAAAACATGGGCAGTCTCTTCCTGTGTTACTTAGAGCTTCGGAAAACCCCCTGGAAGTTCAGCTGTGAGTCTTTTAAGACTTGATGGTGCATAACAAGGCCCCTGGGTGTTAGAAACTATTTCTCCTAACTTAGAATTTGGCAGATTGAAACCACCCATTGAAGAAAGGCCCAGTGAGCTGCTTCTGTGAAGATTGTAGCCAAGCAAACCCTGTTCTACTCTGTGACTCCTGGAGATCATCACAAGTTGGAATTGACTCAGTAACAGTGGAGTGTTGGAATATGAAAGTACTGGAACTTATTTTGCTTTTTCCCTATTGGTTTTCACAAGGAAGCTCTGGTGGCCTGTGGTAAGAAGTTGTGCTGCATTTCTGAAGGCTTGCAGTTCAAGTCCACTAGCTGTTTTGCAGGAGAAAGATGGGCAGCCTTCTCCTTTGTAATTTACTGTCTCTGAAACCCCCTGGAAGGTCAGCTATGGGTCAGTTCTGACTTGACAGCACCTAATAACTAACAACAAAAATTCTTTCCTAAAATATTCTTATCCTAAAAGTGTGATCATTTTTACATGTTTATTTTACATTTAACATTAGCTATATTGCTTTCATAATGCAATGGATTTTTTCCTTTTAAAGTGAAATCAGGTCAAACTAACATAGAATGGCTATCTTTACATTTTTGTGAAGCTCTTAAAGACGTGGGAATGCTAAAAGAAGCTTATTTCCTCTTAGAATAAACTATCAGACTTGTATGTTAGGAGGAAGCTACAGTCCATTTTAAGTTGAATAAGGCCTTTGAGAGTTCTTTTGTAGTATTCTTGTGATTGACTGGAAATAGTGCTTTTAGGTGGTTTCATTAAACAATCATTTTCAAAGGCTAATGCTTAATAGATACATATCATATTGGAAGTAATTCTGGTTTTAATCTTAAGATCCCTTTTTAGAAATGGTTTGTTAGTGCTGAAAATTATGTAGATCAAGTGGTTGTGATCCTGCCCCACAGAGAGAGTTTATTTAAGGCGTACATAACACCTGATCCATGCATGTGTATTTTTAAAAAAATTTCGAAAGTAATAAAAATGTACATAAACAGAATGGGGGAAAATAGAGCAAAGTGAAAGAAGTATGTCCTTTATACCAGAGTATTTTTTCCATAACAAAATCAAATTTGATTACATTCTGTAAAAAAAAAGAAAAATTCTATAGACTCGAGTAAGGGAGCTCTGGTGGCCTAGTGGCAAGAAGTTGCTCTGGAATCCCAAAGGCGCACAGTTCAAGGCCACCAGCTGCTCCATGGGAGAAGGATGGGCAATCTCCTCCTGTGCAATTAACTGCCTTTGAAAACCTGCTGGAGTGTCAGGTATGGGTCAGTTCCAGCTCTGTGATAAATAACAACACAAGACTCAAGTTGGCAATCAATATTATATAGTTTTGAGGTCCCCCCTGCCCTGTGACATATTGTTGCGGCTTTCCCCTCTCCACAAGACCAACCGGCAGTAACACATCTTAGAAGTTGCCTGCATGCGTTCTTTTTTAACAGCTACAGGTTGAATTTTTATTCAGCACTTATTTTTTCTTTTATTTAGCATGTCTTATATTGATGGGCATTTAGATGGCTTCTATTTGGTTTGCTTTTTGTGTTACAGTTTTAGAAAAGACAACAGTCAATTTCCACACAGTCTGGGATATCTCAGTTGTGGTGTTGTTGTTGTTGCTATGTGCCATCGAGTCGCTTGCGACTCATAGCGACCCTATGTACAAAGAGCCTAAATGCTGTTCTATCCTGTGCCACCCTAGCCATCTCAAACGCACTTATTCCCACCGTTCCAGTCACAGAATCGATCCATCTCACCAAAGGTCTTCCTCTCCTTCGCCGCCCCTCCACTCTGCCAAACATGAGGTCCCTCTCCAAGGACCAGTCCCTCCTTGCAACATGCCCAAAATATGTCATATGAAGCTTCAGAATCCTTGACTCTAGGGAACACTCTGGCTTCACCCCCTCCAGGACAAACCTGTTTGTTCTCCTAGCAGTCCATGGTATATTTAACACTCTTCTCCAGCACCACAGCTCAAAGGCATCAATCCTCTTTCTGTCAACCCTATTCACTGTCCAACTTTCTGATGCATAGCACATGATTGTGAAGACTATAGCCCAGATCAGGCACACCTTAGTCTCCAGCCTGACATCGTTGCTCTTCAGTACTCTTGAGAGGTCCCTCACAGCCAACTTTCCCAGTGCAATTCGTCTCCTGATTTCCTGGCTGCTGTTACCACACTTAGACTATTGCTAGGAATAGCAGACATGGCAATTGAGACTGAGATCTTAGAAACAGAAATACAGAGAAGAAGGAACAACTATAAGCAGACACTAGTGATTGGAACGTGAGAAGCATGAATGTAGGAAAATTGGACATTGTTAAGAAAGAAATGGAACGCATAAATATTGACATATTAGGTATAGGCGAAATGAGATGGCTCAGTTGTGTAGCAGTTGAATTACCATATCAAGTCCGTAAATTTTTATTAATGTGGTTCTTTTAATCTCTGAGAAGTAGCATCAGGTTGCATAACTCATGTAAGTGTGTTCTTGTTTATCCAAAACAAGATATTCTGGACAACCTGCTTAGGTTGGAGGTGGGTGGGTGGGGTGGAGATGTTCATCTGGGGATTAAAAAGGGAGCTTGGTGATTTTGTTTGGCAGAATTTTTATCATGAGTGAGTGGTTATTTTTTATAAATGTTTTTTACTATTTTATCCAGAAAACTGTAGTCAGATTGTGAAAAGACCTATCATTGTTGTCTGAAAGTATAGTTCCTCCTTAATGAAAATTTTAGTGTCATGGGAAAATTTCCATAGACCTGGAGGGGGGAGGGTAATGGGTGGTAGTATACAAAGTACAGTTACTCTGTTTCGTTTTCAAGGAGAAAATTAGAACTATTGTCTGGATTTTAAGACAATTTCTTTTAGTATGAGAAATATTTAAAAATGAAAAATCTTTATAAATTATCAAGTATACATCACATGGCATTTCTGAAGAATATTGTGAAAAAGATTATTGCTTATTACTATAAGATACTGGTCTAGAAAATGTCTTTGGCCTCTTTTTAAATCTTTTTAACATTAGTATGTAAATTTTTTTTTTTAAATAGGACACTGATGAAATTCAAGTTAACTATCCTGGGATGTTTGAATTGATGGAAGATTTACAAGGTAAAGCACTTCCCTCTGACAGACTTTAAGAAGCAACACTGTGACATGCTTGACCAAGTAGTAGGGATGCACTGGCAAGGAAAAAAGCAGACTTATCTTCAAGGATCTTATTATTTTTTTTTTATTATTTTGAGTGCATGTATCATCAAATCAGATCTGACTGGTACAGGAGGATATTTCTCCTCCTTCTCCGCCAGAGCATCTGGTGGATTCAAACCGTGTACCTCTGGGATTGCAGTGCAGCTTCTTGCCACTAGGCTGGATCTTTTTTTTTTTTTTATCTTATTTTAAAAAAAACAAACAAAAAACCAACAGGAGACAGCACAAACACTAGGCTTGGAGTGAGATGAGAAAGTGGCTAACTTCTCAATTTCAAAAACACAGCATGTGGTAGCTGAACAAAAAACACATGTATCTACTAAATAGAATGAGATGAAATGGTTGGCAAAGAAAGAGTTAAGGAAAAACACTAAAAAAGTATGGTTTCATCATTTGATTTAAGAGTCTCAAGTGCTGCTGAGAGACAGGATACGGGCTGAAAAAATCCATTCAGTAAAGCAGTGGGAGGGTTGTTGATGACCTTGGTAAAGTCTCTAGTATTGGAATAATGGAAGTAGAAGTACTTGGAGTAGGTTGAAAAATAAATGGAAGATGAAGAACTGAAAGAAATATATTATTCTTACAAGAAATTAAACAGTGAAGACAAATTCAGAGTTAGAAACATTTACAAGTGCCAGATAAGAAGGAGATGAAATTGTTTTAAGACTTTTTTGTTTGCTTGTTTTTTTAACTGATAATTGAAAGGATACATTGGCTTTTATAGAACTGGCACACAGTCTGGGTACAAATCTCTGGTAAGTATCTGCTATGAACATGGAAGATGTGAAATACAAAGGCTGGGGGAAGTATGGACCTTGAAAGGGACAGTTTTCTAGAAGGACAAGAGGAGGCAAAGCATAAATGCACTTAGATATACATAAATCCTTATCTATATCTATATAAAGAGACATGTGGATATTTGATAGTAAAATGTTTCTGTCTAATGGCTTCTGTTTTCCTTGCCAAAAAAAGAATTAATGCTCTATGCTGAGAATGAAACAAAGGCTTGAGAATTTGAAACAGTCCTTTGGAGGATGAAGCTAATATTCAGCGGGAAATGACAGTATTAGGAAGATGCAGTTTGTAGCCTTCTCCAATGACAGTTGGCAAATAAGGACTAGGAATAAAAACAGATGGTTGAGTTTGTGGAAGGTGTGGGTTTGCCCATTGAAAGGGACAAAAAGGCAGTGGCCGAAGATAAACTCAAGCGTTTGACTGAAATAATAGACCTAAAAAAAATCTTAAGTTGGAAGAGCAGGGAGGTGTTGGACATTGGAGGAATGAGCTGATTGATTAGAGAAAGTAGACTTGTCATGCATGGGCAAACACCAAGTTGTCAGAAAGTGGACGTGGCTGACGTTGTGAAACAGACTGGCTGGACGCAAGAATGTGATCAGAAAATGGTTTCATGATTTTGGAAGTAAAGTAGATCCAGGAGATGAGTTGGACTGTCCATGTGACAGGTATGGTGGCTGAGGTAGAGGGATGGAGACATTCACAAGAGTTGAAGAGGCTCAAATGTCATAGAGACCATGGAGTTTGATGGTTGACATTGAAGGTGTCAAGGTAATGACTCAAAGGAAGAGATTCACCTTCTATCAGCTTTGTTCTTTGTTTACACAAGTTAACATAGTTGATGAATACAAGTATATGGGGGGGATAAAGATGTGTTATGTGAAACCACAACCACACTTAGCCTGTTGTTAGGTGCTGTCTAGTCTTCTTTGACTCCTCCTGACCCTATACACAATAGAATGAAGCCCGGTCACCTGCCTTCCTCACAGCCCTTAAGCCCATCGCTGTGGCGACTATTAGGCCACCTCACTGAAGATCTTCTTTTTTTTTTTTTTAATGATTTTAATGAGCATTTACAGAGATTTTGGATTTCCATTCATTAATTGCTGCACTTCTCTTCCCCCCAGCCCTCCCCACCCCAGGTTCGCTCCTCTCTTTCAAAAGTAAAAGAAACACTCCTTCCCTGGTACACAATCCCCCTGCACCCCTCCCACCGCCCCAAGTACATTCCACTATGCAACCTTAATTGTGGAATCCTGTGATAACCATAATACCCTATCATACATTGCTTTTAAATTATTCACTCCCTCATCTGTTTCAGTGCAGTATACACAATTTATCCAGTTTTTCTCAGTCTTACCCCAACCCTGATATCAATCCCATTTTACAACAGTGGCACCATGCAATATTTGTCCTTTTGCGACTGAGTGAAGATCTTTTTTTAACAGACGTTTGGTAAATACACCAAACATGATGTCTTCTTCCAGGACTTAGACCCTCAAATAAATTGTTCTTTTAGCTGTTCATGGTCTATTCATTATGTTTTGGCAACAAAATTAAGAGTGGGAATTCTTATTTATTCTTTTTTTATCATTGTCCAGAAATCAAATTCATATGAAGCAATTGAAAATACCATGGTTTGGATCGGGCACCTTAAGCCCTGAGTTAAATGCTTGTTCTTTTATCACTTTAAAGCAGTTATGGTCTATAAAGGCCAAGCCTTTCTGGCAGTTCAAATCCATCAGCAGGCCCAAGGCAAAAAGATGGACAGTCTCCTGTTGGGTGATTTACAGCCTGAGAAACCCAGTGGAGGATCACTTAAGAGTTGATTCCAGACTTGCACAACGCAGTGGTGCCATTTCTTGTGCCTTATTTCCGTGTGCATTGATTGTGCATCTAACTAAAATGAAATCCTTGACAGCTTCAATCTTTGCTCCATTTATCATGTGGTTGCCTATTGGTTCGTTGTAAGAACTTTCATTTTCTTTCTGTTGGAAAGTAATCTGTACTGAAGCCTGCCATCTTTAAGCATCAGTAAGTGCTTCAGGTCTTCATTTTCTGCAGGCTGGATTGTGTCATCTGCATATCACAGCTTGTTAATTATAGTCTTCCTTCAGTACTGATGTCATGTTATCAGTATATCCCAGGTGCTTGAATTACTGACTCGGCATATGGATTGAATATATGTGTTATAAAGAGAGAACCTTATTGCACACCATTCCTGATTTTAAATCATGCAGCATCCCTTTGTTTTGTTCAAATGACTGCTTTTTGCTTCATGTGCAGGTTCCATAAAAGCAGAGCTAACTAGGTATTCTGGAATTACCATTCACAATGCTAGTCTATAATTTTTTATGAACCACACAACACAGTTGATTACCTTTGCATAGTCACTCAGCTTTTCAGCAAGATCCATTTGATGTTAGCATTGATATTCAAAGGAATCGTTAGTCTGAGACCTGAAAAAATTAAAAAATTAAATTGAGAGGATTATGAAAAGAAATACTTGGCCTCTGTTGGCATAGTTTTTATGAGTGCATGACTTTTTTAAGCTGTCAATTTGTGCTAATAGTACAAGTGAGAAGAATTAGGACCAGTTAGTGGCAGAACCTATTCCAAGTATTACTCCCATCATTCCAGTACTAGAGATTATTAAAATCACCAACCTTTTGCTTTCTTGACTCATACTTTATTTTCTTAACCAACTCTGTTGCTTCTTGTATTTACTCATATTTAACAACATTTATATTACCCATTGTTCAGCCTCCTTACTTTTTGTAGAAGATCCAGAGTTATGTGTCTGAAGACATGGTAATAGCCATTTTTTCATTCATTTAATGGAGGAATTGGCACCTTCTATCATGTTCACAGTGTCACAAACACCAATAACAAATCGACGCGGCCCTGTATTAATTACCCTAAGATCTGATCATGGAACCCCTTAAGAGATGGTTTGAGGCTGATAATTTATTATTCAGTCTCTAATGGTAACAGTTTTTCAAATACAGTATTTAGTTTTCTTATGCTTTTTAATGAGTATTCTCATGACTCATTTCAAGAAGGAAACATGAAAGGGACTAGAAATTTTCTTAACAATTGGAAAAGTTACTGCTTCTGGTTTAAAAATAGCATAGTAATTAGAATGAGGTTTTCTAGTACTTTTCACTTCACAGACAAGCACTTTGAATGGTTGAAATGTTGAGTATCTTGCCCCTCGTCACAGTAAATGCTGGAGTGTAATTTGATAGGGGACCCTCTTAAATCCTACGCTTTGTGTTTGTGTGTTTGCTCTGCTCTGCCTTTTTTTTTTTAAATAAAATTGTGGCATGGATGTTCAAGAAATTGTGGTTACAGTAACAAAAGCACATGATTGCTGACTCACTGGTGAGGAGTTTGAATGGAACAGCTGCTCCACCGGAGATACAGTGTCTGTCTGCCTCCATGTAACAGTCCTGGGACCCTGAGGGTGTTGTGCTCTGATGCATAAGGACCCTGTGAGTGGGAATCACCGTGAAGGCAGTGGGGTGGTGGTTTACAGCGTGTATGGTCAGTATATATGTTGATAACCTTTTTAACTACTACTAGCTCAAAATACCCAGAAATGCTATGAACTTTGATAAATGTTGATAGTTCTAGAAAAGCTTCAGGCCTTGTGTTCATATTTTCTCTATGAGTTGAAGACAATTAACACCACCACCAGATCAAAATAAAGGGAGCTCTGGTGGCCTAGTGGCCAAAAGCTGTGCTGCAGTCCCGAAGGCACACAATTTGAGGCCACCAGCTGCTCTGAGGGAGAAAGATGGACAATCTCCCGTGTGATTAACCATCTCTGAAAACCTGCTGCTAAAGGGAGTTCTGGTGGCCTAGTGCCAAGTAGATTCTCTGTAATCCTAGAGGTACACCGTTCAAATCCACCAGATCCTCTGCTGGAGAAGAAGGGGCAATCTCCTTCTGTACCAGCCAGATCCAATTTGAGGGTTCACACACACACACACACACGTTTTGGTTTTTTTTTTAAAAAAAAAAAGGAAAGAAAAGAAAACCCATTGCTGGAAGATCAGCAATAGGTCATTTCTGACTCAAGGTAAACAACAAGAGAGAGAGCA